TGCGGATATTCCTGTGTTGACTTTCCAATTTCTTTGATTAATGCAAAGAGAGTTTTAATCGGATTGAAGTATAAGGTATTAGCAAGAATAAAACTGCTTCGTAGGTCGCAGGCGGAGAGTCTGGCTATCGTCTAAATTATAGTAAAATTCCTCCTCTGATCGCCGAACAGAAGCAAAATTAGGGTGCTCATTTGACGTCGGTGAATGACATTGTGGTCGAAGACATCCTTCACGATGTCGATAAACACACTTTGCAATTGATGGTTTCCGATATCGACCGACAGATTGGTCACTCTCCGAATTCGATGATCATCCGAACCGCCTCCGTCGATAGTTTTTGAAAGCTCCTGCCAACACATTGTTTTCTCGGGGGGAAATTCTTCCCATATATGACCGCCTTGAGCGACTTCGGAGGCTTTTTTAAAAATAAGGTCTCATCACAAGGGGAAATGCCTTTCCGGAATGGAAATCTGTGATTAGCATACTCATGAACAAATAAAAAACGTCATCTAGTCGGTTTCCTACTTAAAATGACTTCGTTGGGGCATGTTGTTGATGGAGACCGAAATCCCTCATTCGTTTACTAATTATGCTCAGGGAGAACATTGATAAATGTTCCCTGCGATCTACGAATAGTCTTGGGGGGCATACAGCAATACTATTTAGTGTACGACGGACAAAATAGCCCTCTCTCTCGCTTGCTTGTGGATCGTTTCGGTACACCCCGCTTACTTCTACGCACTGTTCTATCATTAAGAATTTCCCGAAGAGTGATCTATCTAATGTTTAGAATATTAGATACCGACTAACTCTGCAGTTCAATTTTCGTATGCACTCAGAATTGGCGTCCGACAGGACCCGTTTTGGTGTGACGCAGAAAAGTGGCAGCACATCTCGGGCACTCAATCCATGTTTTTTCGCGACTTCCAGTTCTCGGTGTGGTAAAACAAAATATTCTCATGCAAGTATATTACGGCGCTTTGTGGCATAAAAAGTCGCAAATTTGCAAAACAGAATCTTTTAAGTTGAATTCACTCCGTGTTTCTTGTAAATAGTGCAATTTCTCATACCTGCCTCCACCTGATTTTCATCGACATGGAATCCGATTTTTCGGTTCCAGAAGGAATTTATTTGGAATTTTTCATGCTTATATTAATGTTATTTTATAGTATAACGCGAACAAATAAGAGGTTTTGAGCTGCGCTATTCAGTAACGTAGCAAATTACTTGGATATCAGAAAACGTTCGGTTTCGCCTAAATCTAGTCTGTTTTCCCTTTGCAAAATAAATTTGGAACGAATTATTCTTTAGTAAAAGGTCG